GCAGAAGCTCCAGCAGCGCTGCCGCCAGCCAGCAAGTGCCTGAATGCAGCTCCAGGCAGCGAGCTCTTTCCTATATGGAAAGAGCCTGCCTGCCTCCGCAGCCTGGCTGGCCTGGGCATGGGCCCAGAAGCTTCCGGTAGGCCCCAGAGGATGCTGCGCCTCTGTTGCAGCTACTGGGCCTCATTTGGTTGGGCCTCCCAACTGTCTGTGTATGAGCCTGCGATTCTCGTCCAGGGCCTGCATCATTTTGGAAAGGCCTGGAAGGCCATGGAATGTCTCGCTGCTCGGTCTGTGTTTCCCTCAACCAAGTGGCGCAGCGAAACTGCCTGGACCCCAAATAAGATATTGACAGCTTAGGGCCTCTCGTGATTTGTTAGGCCCGCCTTCACTTAGGGCAGGCACATCTGAAGCTAGAAGCCCCTTAGGCCTGCCGAGGACCCAGATCCTCGCAGTGGGGCTGTTTCTTTATTAAAAAAGATATTTAAAAAAAATAAAAACAATGCATGCAGCTGTGCGCCCAACAAAATGCTAATACCTCCAATCATTTAACGCCATCGAAGCAGACTGAAGTCTACAACTGGGTCACTTTTCCCAAATAAACAGTGAATATCATCAACAGCCAATTCTTTTAAAACCCAACCCGTCAATTTTATTCACCATTTAAGGCAAGGAACTTTAGAAAAGACAAAAAACTGCTGAAGAGCCTAAAAGGTTAAATTTGAGGCCTTTTATAAGTTTTTAAACCATCCACAAGGGCCACAACCTTTCGCAAGCAAACTCGAAACCTCCTAAAAATGCGGTACAACGTACTATACCTCTTCTTCGGAGGCCGGGCGCCACCTGACCAAAATGCCTGGGGACGCAAGCCAATACAAAACAAAACAAACCAACACAAAAAAAAAAAAAAAAAAAGTCGCGCAGGCTCTTTGGCAAAGCTCGAAAGGCAGTTCTTTTCCACCTTGGCAAAAAGAGGCTCGAAGGTCGTGGTGGTTCAAAAAGAGGGAAAATGAGACTCCAGGCCTTCCCGCAAAGGTCAAGTGCACTGTATCTGTTCTGATCAGTTTAATATCTGATCCGTGGTCCATCAGGTCACATTACCAAAAAAAAAAAAAAGCATTAAACTTACCTGAGCATCAGAGTGCTGAATTTGGAAATCCAACCAAGTTTAGAGAGAGACAGAGAGAGGGAGGGGGGAGAGGGGAGAGGGGGGGTGAGAGAGAGAGAGAGAAATAGAAGCTCTTCCTCCATCATACCCAAAAATTGCCTTGTTTCCACGAGTTTCTGACCGCTGATGAAAGTCCATAACATAGCTGCAGATATTGTGGTCTTCTGGAAGTGTGTAGCTCTGCAGCATTGCGACCATGACGACACATCCATACGTCAACAACCTGCGCTGGGTTGATGTCAACAACCTGAGCTGGGTTGTGGCCTGGCAGCCATAGGAGGAAAAGGAAAGAAACCCACAGCCCGACAAAAGACAGAGAGCAAAGAGGGGGGGAAGGGGGGAGGGATATACAGAGGATGGAGAGAGAGAGAGAGATGGAGGGAGGGTAGGGAGGGAGGGAGGGAGGGAGGGAGGGAGGGAGGGAGAGAGGGAGGGAATCTCAAGAAAGGCAAAATCAAGTACCCCCGACAATGAGGGAGGAATGACTAATGCCAGGCTGCTATTTTCCAAACCCTTCACAGCATACTATCATCTTACTATGCCTGCAAAAAAAAATACATACCTGGAATACACAACGAATTTTGAAATACATACATATATCGTCAAACAGAACTGCCTGGTAAACCGTATACGTTTTGATCTCAGGGTTATCATTTGCCAATCGACTTGAGATTAGAGAGACGGAGGGATCCGAAAGTACAGGGGGAATCTGGGAAAGCCTACTGTTTTCTTTGCAAGTCAGAGGACATTGTGTACTTGATCCCAGATAATTTGAAATAGCAGAACTATAAACACACTAAGCATAAACGAATCGCTAAGAATGACAACTGCAACATTGGTCTATGCTATGACCCTGGTCATCCCCCAATGCAAAACTCAGAAAAGGGACAATGCCGTTCAATCATGACTCAAACGAAACAGATTGGAAGATGATAAGACAAGGGAGGAAGAAGAACGAACAGCAGCAGCAGCAGCTGAGGAAGAAGAAGAGGAAGAAGAAGAAGAAGAACGAACAACAGGAAGAAGAACAAACAACAGAAGAAGAAGAATGAACAACAGAAGAAGAAGAAGAAGAAGAAGAAGAAGAAGAAGACAAAGACAAAGACAAAGACAAAGACGAAGAAAAAAAAACGCAAGCTGGAACCAATGTCATGTCTCACTCATCTCACCTCCACCATCTCTCCAGCAGTAAAGCAACAAAGGGAGCAAGAAGGCAACGGGAGGGAGAGAAAGGAGAGGAGAGAGACAAGGAAGAGAAAGGTGTGAGAGTGGCGCATAAGGAGGGAGGAGTGTTGAGTTAGCAAGGAAACAAGCAAGATCCCAAATGAAGGTCAAGCCATGTAGACATTACAGAACCTGGACTGTTTGTGGTTCTGGAAATGATTGAAAACCCAGCTCGCTGAAAAACCTATGCTTCCAAGTGCGCTGAACCTCAATTGGTTGCCCGCCATGCCACACATCCCAGCAATGAGCATCTCCACTCTCTGTATTGCAGATCAACGACCACACGACAAACAGAACACGGTGTCCACAGCTTTAATCATGACTTGATAGCTCTTTTCTTTGTGTTTTTTTCTTTTTTTTTGACTTGATATCTGTATATGTAATGAACCCAGAAAGCCAATCAACAATGGTAATGGAAATCTGAACCCAGCGTGACTCATGAAGTCTCCAATCCTGAATTACATGTCCAAGTCTCGATCAAATGCACACTTCAAGCGTATTGTCCCGTCAAAGAAGAGCATAAGAGAAGAGTAAGGGGAGAGATGAGACAGAGAAGAGGAGGAGGAGGAGAGTCTTGATGATAATCAATAGCTCATGTATGTCTTCCCCTCTCCCACTCACTCCTACTTCGGGCTCCTCCCGCTACGGCACCTCAACATTGCATGTTCCCTCTGACGTCTTCTGACATAACCGCCATGCATATCAGAACTGGGCGCCCATCCTCCATCCACGTCAGCAATCAATATGGAGGATGGCACAGCACTTCCTCACCTTCATGTAGACAGCAGCAGATCACGCATGTCGTCGCCAGGTAAGTCCAGGTAAGCTTTCCCACATCCCACGTCCGTCTCACAGCCCCGATCCTCCTCCTCCCCCTCCCCAATAATCACGACTTCATCCTCCCGTTTGGACTGGATTCTTCTCGATACCTGCACACAACCAAAATTATGTGCATCTGATCGATGGTCGTGGCTGACCAGCCGGTTGACTTTAGACTTTGGGCCTGGAATCCCCTAATGGGTTTGACTCTTCATTTTCCAGACTCAACTCTCTCACGTTGGGGTACTACGTAGTAGGCACAGCTTTTGACTCAGACCCTGGTACCCCTTGGCCCTTTTTTCTTTTTTTTTTTGGCCCTAGCCACGTTCTCAGACATTTCTCAGACTTGGGACCTGACTTTTGACCCCTCCCTGTTTCTGGCCTTTGAATAAAAGTGACGACCCTTCCCCGCGCGTCCGTGCGGTGCGGATCTGAACGGAGTTTACCACATATAATACATGACCGCAGATAAAAATAGAGTTTGCAACTCTGCACCATCTATGACTGGTGCATTACAGCTTTTGCACAGACTACATACTATGTCCTTAACCCTGAATCTGGCCTCAAAAGGCTAGAAGCTTAGAAGCTTCCAACCCATATACCGTGTCCGCATGTCACCATTTTCCCCCCAATTATAAAGGATATAGCCCTGTATGATCCGTAATGATTCCGTATCCTTTATATCAACTCCAACTCCTCCCTCCTCGTAGGAAATACGAAACACATATGGCATCGGGGGGCCATCGGGGGTCCCAAGGATTGATCGGGAAGTACAGGATCAATTTGAGTTTGAGAAAAATGGATGTGTGCACATTCTATTCTAAGAGTGACACTGGGGCATTAACCTCCCTAACAGTGAAACTGGGAAATTAGCTTTCCCATTAGATCAATAATGTGATAATGCGAGGTGAGACACCGACGTGACTAGCGCAGTTGGTACGCCTGTGAACTGCTGGAATACAAACCCAAGTTCGAATCCAGATTTTGGAACATATGTCTGAATTAACTGGGGGCGGTCAGCTAAATGACTATATCTCAAGGCCGTCGCCCTTTCATAAAAATAAAATAAAAGAATCGGAGGTGAGAACTTCCCTTGGAGGAAGATAAATTATGAGCAGTACGTTTGCAATATTACATCAGTATATAATACAAATAGAGAGAGAGAGAGAGAGAGAGAGAGAGAGAGAGAGAGAGAGAGAGAGAGAGAGAGAGAGAGAGAGAAGGTGACCAGAAAATGACTTGTCACTGTAAAACTATAAGGAATCATGCCAATAAGATAACAAAATAACAAAAAAGTAAAAGTGACAAAGATGAAAGGAAAAAATTGTTGTTAGAGCCCGGCCGGATCTATCTAGTCCTGTTTGCTCCCCATGCTTTCACACCTCAGAGTCAGTAGAGACCCAGAAAGCTGCCTTCGTTTTTGGTGTTCCTTCTCTCATAATATGTTCTACACTGTAGAAAGCCAAATCTACATGAGGCGTATAATGCATTGCTAAAAAAATGCCTGTAATTATCTGGGTTACCAAACAAATACCAGCAAGAGATCCAAAACCCCATCAACAGAGAGAGAGAGAGAGAGAGAGAGAGAGAGAGAGAAAATATGTACGATATAGAGCCTCCTGGTGGTGAGTCGGTGAAACTCCGACAAAACAGTCTGCCTTCCAAAGCCTCTTTTCCCTCTCTGGCTACGCTTCACCGGGCAGTTCTCTCTATGACCATATATTTGAAATAAAGTTCAATAAACGTATGTGGTGTAAATATGATATTAGTAGCCTGCCGTCTTCACACGAATAGAATGCACGGTCATTATAGCTTCATTTGGGGCAACTTCCAGTCCAGATACAGCGATAATTACCGGTGGCGGTCTGTTCAGGTGACGACAGTAGCTGGAAAGATAGCGCCATTGACTGTGGTGGTTGGTGGCAGGGTCAAGGTGGATTATCTCTTGACAGTATCATTAGTCAGGGAACTCTTCAGACTGTGGAGGGTATATACTATATACCCTAGATTGGTCTGCCTGTGTATAAACAGAGCAAGGGGTACTTCTTGGTTTCTAGACCATTCGGCGGACCATTTGAAATTAAAAAAAAAAAATTGGACCATTTCTCGATTTATGCGTGTGCGTCATCCTTGAAAGCGCAGGGGTCATGCTAATCTTCTTTCTCTCTGTCGTTCCAATTTTAAGGGATGTCTCGAAGGACCGGCGGACCCATCTGCAGAATCACTGATTGGAAGATTTCCATGCAGGACCATATGCCCGACAAGCAGTTGGACCCTTTGCTTGCCCAACTGTAGGACCATTTTCAGGTCCATTTTGTGGGACTACTTTGCAGGTCCACTTTGTGGGACTACTTTGCAGGTCCTTTTTGTGGGACTACTTTGCAGGTCCATTTTGTGCAAGCATTTGCGGCACCATTTATGGGACCATTTGGCAGACTATTTGACACACCCATTTGTGGGACCATTTGCCAGACTATTTGCACACCCATTTGTGGGACCATTTGCCAGACTATTTGCACACCCATTTGTGGGACCATTT